AATCCTTTTCCACGTCCATGATGAGAAGAAGAGATTGCCGGAGGAATTCAGCGAGAGTTTTTTGCTGGAAGCTCGGGAGAAATGGAGCGAATGGCCGAAATGTCGAATTTGGAAAATGTTAAAATTTTCCGCCTTTTTCATTGTATATACTGGGCGGGCCTTGGATTAACGAGTCGGGCCTTAACTTTCCACGTAAGCACGCCACGCGTTATGTTATTATTGGCTACTGTTACAGACCGAACACATCGTTGTGATCGGATTCCACACAGAATAATTTCACGTGTTTTCTAGGTCCGGTCCAAAATTGTTTCTCAGGCTCGTCCGAATTGGCAATTGGACCGGAAGATGGGTGAATATTTCAGCCGGTTTAAATATTTATCCTACATTTTTTAAAAATATTTATCCTACATGCTTTAACAGATATTTAATTTGTAGTTGGTGTATCATGATAAAGAAACTCGCCTTCCAAAAGAGCCCATAGGTTGAACTCATCTAATAATCCTAGGGGCGTTATTTGCATAGATCACACCCAAAGTGGAACTTGCCCAAAGTGAATAAGACACTACTCGCATAGGCCTGTTAAGGAACTCATCATTTACGGAGCAAAGCAGGAATTCCTCACAAGGATAGAAACTTGACAAATACCTAGACCACCACCTCAATCACTTGCTCTTCCTCAGAGCAACCACTAGTACTACTTTCTCCCAGAGCAAGCATCCTCACCAGACTCAACTACAGAAAAGCACATAGTCATAAGACCCTCAGCCTACCTCATTGCGACCATCGAAATCGAAGATCTCCATTCCCATGGCAATGTCTCACTTTCATTCCTCTTCTTGGGCGACATGAGGCCTCACATATAAGTCACTAGCAAAGACAATAAACACACCAGTCATTGGTCCCCTTTCATGTCACTACTTATTCACAGACTTCTCCAAGCACACTCACCCTTATCAACTCAACAATATTGGACTCACCCAAAAGTAACTCGTCGAAGCCTTCCAACTTCACTTCCCTTCATCTGATCAAGAGGAGACACGTGTCTAAGGTAGTGTATGACATTATATGGGTGTTATTTGTAGCTTTATATTTTTTGATTTTCTTCTATATAGCCTTTCATGTAGCTCTTATAACTCTATAAATAAGGGGTGATGAAAAAATGGTTAGAGAATCTTTTTTGGTTGATAATGGAAATTCTGCTAGTTTGAGATTTATAGTTTTCTTAAGCATTATGTAGAACCTTCATCTACCCTTTTTATACTCTCCATTCTCACATGCTCAACTCGTCAACTCACTAGGTATTATTACTAGTAATGTTTGGTGTCATTCATAGAAAAATTTGAATCCAACAACCTCTCAAGCGTAGTAAGTGTGGATTGATGCCATTAACAAGAAAGTGAGACCTACTTAACAAGTGAATGAACTTGGAGAATGTCAACTACTCCGCTCTTCACAACATACAAGAAATGGAGGGAAGGATTATGAATTCAATCTAAGACATTGTAGGTGGCCTAAAAGGGTGAGTGTAAGGTGACAGCACCTCTGCATGTTCTTCTATCTTGGTAGTTCTTCACAGCACTAACCTCAACTCCAATTCCTAATTACACTCGCAAGTTCATGAGTGAAGAAGACTACAGTCTGCCAACTAAGCAAGTTATAAGAGATGATACTGGACTTACCATTACCTTTTCTAGGGTGATCTCCAAGGCTAGGCCACCTCTCAAGTTCAAAGTGCCACACTTGGAATCTTATATGGACATGATTGATCTAATTGACCAAGTGGCTACCTTTGAATCAATGAATTCGTTGCAAGACATTGGTGATGCCCTTAAGTATGTTTGCTTCTTTATGCATGACACTTTAGGAATCGGCGCTTAGGTGGTTCACTCGCCTACCATTAGAAGTGATCCCTCTTTTTCTAAATTTAAAAAGATGTTTGTGACTCAATTTTTTAGAGCCGAGAGCCCAAAAAAGCTCATAAGCTCTATTAAAAATGGAGCACAAATACATAAGTCACTAAGGAGCTTGTGAATTTTAGAGAAATTCTAGATATGAAGGACCTAGAGCTTGTAGTGAGCTATGTCACATGAACAATTGAGGATGCTCACTCAATTTGTAATAATTGAGGGTGCTCGTAGAGCTATTGGAATTGTCCAACATGCTTGTAAATCATGAAGAGTACAACAGAGTGTAAGAGTCCTTAACCACTCACTCTTATGAATTCATCACTAGAAGAAAGTAGTGGTGAGGACATGGAAAAGAAAGATCTAATGGATCAGAGGGATAGACGACCGTATATTCCCATGGATCAACATTGCCCTATGCTTCAAGGGGCACCTTGTAACCTAAGCCAATGAAGATTACAAAGCCACTAGTGCCAAGGGTAGAGGATCTGATTATGGCTACTCTCCCATATTCAAAAGTGGCTGTGTGTTTTTAGTTGACATACCAAATCTACATTCCCCAATGAGTATCCATGTTAGAGGTTATTAAGGCCATCCAAAGTAAAAAATTTTGTAGGAAAACAATGCCCATGAGGCAATAGCCCACACCAACAATGTTGTTAAGTATTGTGCCTTACATAAGGATTATGTCATGACATAAAGAAGCAATACACCTGTGAGGTATTCCAAAAGATCTCATCAAAGTAGAAAATTTGAAGGATTTCATCCTCACTAACCTATTCAAAAATCCAAGAAAAGCCTCAGTAGAAGATAGTTATAATGAGCCTATTTATGCTCACACCATACATATTACCAGAGTAGTGCTCGCTATCATAAGGGGCTGAGTGAGTGCACTTGTAGTTGAGTATGAAGAGGATTAGGATAAAAAAGGTGAACTTAGAGTTCACCTCATGAGCTCCAATAATAGATATCACCCTTGTCACTTTTAGTGAAGCTAATAACATTGATCAAAGGTTCGTGGTCCAAACAGGCTTGAGAGAGAAGCTCCGATTTTTAGAGAATTCAATTTTTTTTAGTGAACGATGTTTGGCTAGTTTGTCGAAGATGATGTTGGCGGCTTCAGCCACCATCTCTGGTGGCCAGAACTCTGCTGATATTCCTAATTCTGGTTCTCGTATCAATCATCAATATGTTAAAGCAATGCAATGTGGTGAAATTCAAGCCTTGAAGTTTAGGGGAATTCCATTGGTTATTAAGGAACCATCGAATATTCCTATTAAATCTACTACTCTGGTGATCGGCAAAGGGAAGCAAGTTGTAGATACTATGGATTCAAAAACACCCAGATCTGTTGTGCTTTAGAGCAAATTGATGGTGAAGCATCATCGTCATCTGGAATGAATATGATTGTTAATAGATTCGGCAATGTGAGTAAAAAATATGCTCTTAGCTTAGAGGTGATCCCTTCAGTTCAAAATAATGTGAAAGATATTGTAGTTCTTTGTGTTAATGCTCAAGACAAAGTTCCAAACCAAATGGAGGAAGATCATTTAGCAAATGAAGGAGATTCTAAAAAAGCTGGTAATCCTTGGTTTAGAAAACCT